GCTCACCAAGGCTGCATTTATTTGATCAAAAATACAGAACAAAACAGTAATATTGTGAAATATTATTACAATTTAAAATAACTGTTTTCTATTTTAATATACTGTAAAATGTAATGTAAAATGTAACATGCAATTTTCACATCAAATTATCCTTCAGAAATAAATTAATATTCTGCTTCAAGAAACATTATCAATGTCGAAAACAGTTATACATATAATACATATACATACATATAAACAGCTATATATATAATATTTTTGTGGGAACCATGTTAATTTTCAGTTCAAAAGACCAGAATTTTATTTTTATTTAATTTAATTATTTATTTTTCAATTAAAATGTTTTTAATTAATGTCTTGCTTAATAAAAGTACTCTTTTATTTAAAAAATTAAGATAAAAAAACACACCAAAACTGCACCAAAGTAATGCATAATTAAATGTCATATTGCTTATATTTTCACTTTTTTTAGTTTTTTTTATCAAACAATAAATGTAACAATAGAATGTCACCGAATTCTTATTCTGCCTATAAAGTATTACACAATATTCAGTGACAGTAATATACAGTATAAATGAATGTTAGATTGTATGTGATGTACAGTCGTACTTGATAAACTGTGTAAAAAGGCCCGTGGTGCTGTAGATCATACGAGCAGCCTGAGACTCTTCCATCTGAGAGCGAGAGCAAGTCAGTGCATCATCCATGTGGCCCTCTTGATGTAATATGGCCTGAGAGAAAGATAAAGAAAGAGTTTGGATTAAATGTAAGATCATAAGGAATACAACAGTTTCACATCAGGTGTGTGAGTTGGTGTCATGTAGTTTGTAGCTCAGCAACAGTACAGTAATATATATATATATATATATATATATGTATATATATTCTTCTCTTACTTGCGCTGCTCCTCTCCCTGATCAGGTGTTGAGATGGCCAGACACTCATCCATGTGACCATGAAACAATCTTAAGACATGACCTCCAGTTAAGTACCCTGAAAAGAGCAAATATAAAGACCAGGGGCCTCATTTATAAAACGTTGCGCAGAAGCCATCTTAAATTTGATCTTATCAGAAAACGCACGTACGCCTCTCTTTCAGATGTGAAATCTATGAATCGCCAATGATCTTGAACTTGCGAACAGCTGAATGGTTTTAGCTCTGTCTTGTAAACGACTCCTAATAAATGTTATTAACATGTAAAAGATCGCAGTCATCATCCAAATTCTTTAATTTAGAACAGCGAGCTGCAAGAACAGCTTACATTTCCAAAAACCTGCAGTACTCGAACAAGAAAAAGTGCGTGCGTCTGCTCAGACCCTGACGTGACGCTAAGCACTTTTCCACGTCAAAGCCAGTTTTTACAAAGATGAGCGTTGGCGTGGATTTAAGCGTACGCACACTCTAAGATCAAATCTGAGCGTAAGCACGCTTTATAAATGAGGCACCTGAACACAGTCAGATAGGTTACATTATCTCTACAAATTACAGAGATATTTCAGAACATTTTGTGATTATTGGATTGGGAATTCTCTGTATTTGCTGAACACTTACCCTCTGCCAGCTCACAGCCTGAGCAGACTGGATTCATGTTCCATAAGGTCTGCATAAAGGAGGCATCTACCATCAGGTCCCCGCTGGCGTACGACAGATGCTGCAAAAGTTATCACAGATACCAGCTGTCAGCTGCACAGAGAATCATGTTTGATATTATTATTAGGTCACTAAGGATCTAAAAAGTCTTACTAGGTATCTCTCTGATGACACGCTAACCAGGATCAGGTCGTCTCCTACCCTGACCTTCTCACCCTCTGACCTCTGCTTGGATGCAGGATGGATGGTCCACCAACATGCTTCCCCTGAACAAACAGAGATGCAAAGAATTTGTCCAGTAAAAAGAAATCAATTCAATTCAAAACACATATTATTACAAATTCTGCTATAACCTAACCAAATGCATACAAATATAGGTTTAATAAGACAATGTGACTGTTGTGATGACTTTTTGTTTGTGTCATGTGTGGGTATTGTTTGTGTGTTGGGTGTTCTTGTCTGTCTTTTTTTTCTTCTCTCCCTCTTTGATTATTCTCAAGTGTGCATAGCCAGAGAGCTGATTGTCATTGAGGTGCACCGGCACTCAGTGTGTTTCACGGTGATATAAATGTGCCATTTGCAGACTGTGGAGGAGACGGTGAGAGACCATCTGGGAGTACCATCTGGTTCACACTGTTCAGACAATACTCTTTTTCCTGGGTTTCTATAGTGGGATTGGACATTGCATTGTTGTTGCTTTTTGAATCCCTGAAGTCTGGGGTTTGATAGTGAACTGTCAATAAATGTGACGCTACTGGCTGCTACCGTCAACCCAGCTATATTTGCATTTTGGATTTTACAGTTGTAAAGTGTAAGACTGTTCGTATAATATTATTAATGTAAATTATGCATATTTCAAATGCTATTGTCATTTATGATTGTACATATAATAACAAGATAAAATATATTTATAATATTAATAATAATAGATTTATAATAATATTATAATTATTGTTTAATTTATTGTATTTTATTAGTACTACTAAATAAATAATAATAATAATAATACAATAATAATAACAACAACTATAATAATAATAATAATTATTATTATTATTAGGGATGCACCGATACCACTTTTTCCAGGCATTTTAACGAGTACGAGTACGAGTACAGGAGGCCAGTATCGGGCCCGATACCGATACCAGTATCGGTATCGGTGCATCCCTAATTATTATTATTATAATTATTATTATTATTATTATTATGTAGTTGTTGTTAAGCTCAAGAAAAAGAAATACAACCAGCAAAACACATAATAAACCACTAGCACTACTAAAAATATATTATTATAATAATTATTATTAATATTATTATTATCGATCAACAGTGGATTACATGTACCTGTAGAATCCTCTTGCAGGCCCACATCAAAGGCCAGCTTGTCTGTGAGTGAACGTGATGTCGTCAAGCAGCTGAGATACTATAATTCAGGGTAAAAAACATGTCTCCTTAAAATTAGCGCTGTCACATTAAACATCAGTAAATAATTGAAAAGGACCCGTCATTCATCTCTCACCATGCCAGAGTGGTAGTGTCTCAGGAGGATGGCGTGGCCATAGAGCAGCGTTCGGTGTCCCCCTCCCTGAAATGACTGGAGATTGAGGAACAACAGAGAAAATAAAGTTAAAACAACTTCTTTGTACTCAAATAGTGCTGTAAGGACTCAGCAAAGTGGACTACATTGGATGGTAAACAGCAGCATTTTACATAGGAAAGGGCTCCGCCGTTTTCACATGGCAACACCAGTGAGACATAAGAAGAGGTAAACTGAAAACAAAAACTGTTATGAATGGACAGAGGAATAAAGTTCCAGAGATTTTCTTTACATACTGTAAGTTCACATTCACAGGAAGTGGGTTACAGTACTATGGAGAGAGCATACATAAGTACAGAAACAACCAATGAACAGTAGAGTCAAAGGGTCAAAGGTCACATTCAGCCGCCATGAGGACAACAAACACATCCTGTGGACGGCTTACCTTTTCTCAACATCCAGAAAGGATTAAAAGCAAGAGAACACGATTATTGTTGATATTAGTGAGTTTTGTCTATAGTCTCATACTATTAATGAGTATGATTACATAAACGAGAGAGAGAGAGAGAGAGAGAGAGAGAGAGAGCACACCATAGCAGTCCTTAAAGAGACAGTTCTCCCAAAAAAGAAAATTCGAACATTGTTTACCAACCTTATGTTGCTCCAAATCCGTTTTTGGGTCACAAAAGGAGATTATGTATATATATATATA